GCCACTCCGGAGCCTAACTGGGGCTCTTTTGATGTTGGCGGGCCCTTTTAAACTGCACGTATGCGCAGTGGGCCTGCCATCAAGGAAGCTGCTCTCAGGCAAGGGGGGGGCCCTGCCCTACTGGAGGGGGACTGGGGAGTACCCCCTCTCTCTCTGGGGGGGCTGGAGTTCCACCCTATATGTTTCTGAATTGGTGCTGGTCCAAATATTTATTTTCCCACAGTTAAATTCAGTGAAAAGGGAAATAAACAGGAAGGGAGATGTGGTGGAGAGCAGACTGAGACAAAAAGTATGAATAATAACTCTCATTTAGGAGAAAAAATAAATATTTAGTGTGGAAAACTTTTTGAAGACAATAAAAGGGTCTTGTTTTGTGAAGAATGTCAAAGAAAAATGTGCTCTTTGAAAATTACACATTTTTTTTGCCAAATAGAGTTTAGTTAAAATCCCAATTTTCCGCCAAAAGCAATCTCAATGGTAAATTTTGCAGCTAGCCCTATTTTGCATGATTTTAAATGAGGAATGAAGTACTGCAGCTTTCTCAGCTAAATGATGCCCCATTAATTTTCTCATCTGTAAAACTCCCTGTGAGAAACATGGACAGTGTAATGCACAAATGAAACTCCTAGTATCTCCATATGCTGGAGAAGAGAATAAAGAAGAGAGAGAGACAGGAGGTCTGAATGATCAAGGTGTATGGAGTTGCCTCCGCATTTATTTGGATATAGCCAAGTGCATCGGTTAATCCTAGTAAATGAAGCCCCACAGAATTTTCATGTGCTTGGCTACCCCTTTTAGAGGGTGTCTTGCCCCACAAGTTCCTGACCTTGGCAGAACCACTGTTTTTCATGGATAAACTATTTCTGAATCATGTCTCTGAATACATCAATCAATAAAAATGCTTTGATTCTTCCCTCTGCTCTTTCCATCCTTTTCTTTCTTTCATAGACTCACTGTATGGACTCTACTTGCCTTTCTCATGTCCCTCTGACAGCACCCAGGGTCAGTCACTCAGTAGAGCCTGTGGATCAACCAATGCCAAAGCCTTTGGGCAGATATTATTCGGACAAGCCTAGTCCCTACCTTTAAAAAGTAGGAATGGTGGGGAAACGGAGGCACAGAGAGCTAACAAGACCCACAATCCAAGAAGACAAACAACAGATGAAGGGTAGGAAGGATAAACACACAACTGCAAAGTAACAATTAAATATTAACAGTCTCTTCTGTGCTTTCATGTAGCTATTATTAGTTCGTTCTTTCCTTACCTGAGTCATGCAAGAACAGGTCTTGCAAGGGAGCTGAATAGCTGAGCCACAAAACTGATATTCTATTTGGAACTGAGTCAAAGGCCAAGATGTTTAAGGCTAGTATTGAACTGATATTTATCTACATTTAGGGCCTCTAGATTTGTAGCCTCTACCTTTCTCATGGGCACACCCCTATTAAAAAGATATTCATTACCATTTCTTCCTTATAAGATGAGTGCTGTGTAGAGATCTTGGGCTTCCCCAGTAGTCATTTGCAATAGCATAAAACAAATGCTAAGGGATGTTAAGTGCTTCTGTTCTAATTTGATAGTGCTTTACATCTACTCTGCACCAGCATAGCTATCTACATAAAGTACAGGGCAACAGGGAACTGAATATGCCTTGTTATAACTTTGAAAACCATCAACCAGATCTGCAGCTGCTATGAAGCCGTGTAACTGAGAACTCATTCCCTGATATAATTTCAAATTAATCACACACAAAAAACCACTGAAGCATGGTAATAATTTGTAATTACATAGCTAATTTCAGTGGAGGACCAGACTATGTTTTACAAACAATGAATTAATTAACATCACAGGCTGTAAATCATTTCCAGAGACAAATGAAATACAGTAACCAATTTTTAATCATATCATAGATATACATATATTTATCCTATGTGTCTGTGCATGTAGCAGGATCAGTGTGGTGCTGCTGCTGCTGATCATTTATGAAATACTTTATTTATTTTTCAGCTTGTTTCCTTCAACTTTAGACCTACCGTCCAATGACTGTTCCCCAGTGCCAAACAGCCATGTGCGTGGAAGAAAAATGGAAGCAGCGGAAAGGAGCTGTTTACATTAAGAAAAGTCAAGAAGCCTGATATTTAACCTTCCAGATTTCATCTGTTCTGTTATTTTGGAAACCACAGTACATTAGTTTAAAGGTGTCACACTGATACTTTCCACTTATTTTTAGGAGTTTGTATTATGCCACCACTGCCAGCTGGAACTTGGCTTTGTGACTTCTTGGTGGCTCCTATTTTTCTGTGCTGTATTTTGGTCCTGAGACTAGACTGCAACATTCTGGATCCATCAGTCTGTGTTGCTAACTGCTCAATTTTCATTTTTTCTAGGATATATTCCTGGTAACAGAAAAAGAGAAGCATCTTCAATACAGACACTCACTATGATAGAACTTCCAAGTGCACTGATCAACGGACTGCCACTGGAAACACTAAGAGAGGGTCGAGTCTAAAATCCTGCCTCTCTTTCAGAGTTTGTGCAGAGCATGGTGGTGTGAGCTCAGCAGGCATACTGAACAGGGCCCACCCTAAAGGATTTAGGTGCATGGGTGCCTAGTCTGTGCATTCCACATGGCCTGTGTGCAAGATGTGCCAAGATATGCAGACTAGCAACAGTGGTGGGACCTCAGCGGTGCAGACAGTAACAGAGTTTAGGTGTTTAAGTAACTCTCATAGCAGATGGTTTGGTGCCTATACATTCTAACAGATGTTAAGCTATTAGGTGGGTTTTTGTCAATTGTTCACATAGGTGAACAATTCCCTAAGACCCACATTTGTCTTAGTTTTACATTGGGCACCTAAGACCTTTTCTTAATTTCGGTCACAGATGCTAACAGCCAGATCCTCAGCCAGCGTAAACTGTCACAGCACCAAAGCTACAATACACACTTAATTACTCCATGGATTTTATTTCTGTTTCTATTGCTGCCTCCCACTGACAAGTCTGGGCCTCCATTGTCTTATGTTTAAAAAGGAGGAATTATTCTGTTAACCTACTTTAATAAAGGGCTTTGGGGGAGAGACATGAAAAAGCACTTCAAGTATTACTGGAAAAATCATCATGGTTCTCACTTTCTAGCAAAGTCCATACTGAGATAAACAGTCTCCGTAAGGATTGATTTATTCTAGCTGACTAAGTCCTAAAGCTTCCTTCTGTGACATTCTCTTCCATGGGCCTATGTTCCCAGAGGGCCAAGTCCTAGAAATATCTGCTTTGAAGAACATGTTCTGACATTACTCAGCCAAGGACTACAAGTCTCCCTGTCCTGCCTTTATATATTGTCTGCAGTCAGATACTCAAAGGGGTCTAGTCTGTTGATAACAATGTTAGTCTGGCAGCAAGAGGAGACTAGGACTCTTTCATAATTACTTTGCACATCTATTATCAATAATGATAATATTTAGCTCCTCTAGAATACCTTATATCCTGGGATCCCAACTGTTTTACGTGTGTTATTTGATTAAACTTCAGAAGACACTTCAGTGGTGGGAAAACATTATGATTCCAATTTTATAAATGGGGAAACTGAAGCACAAGGACACTAAAAGTCTTGCCGAAAGTGAAATTGTAAGTCCTTGGCACAGTCAGAACAGAACTCAGATCTTCTGAGTCTCAGTTCCACATTCTGAGAGAGAAGCTCTGTCTCCCACTGTCTATATAAGTAACCTTTACATATGTTTCTAGTTCACACAGGCGCTGCGTTTGCTGAAAGGCTCCAAAGTACACAGCAACAGTCAATTGAGGAAGACATTAGAATCGCTTGGATTTCAGCTGTCCAGAAAATCTGCACACCCTTAGAAGCAGCCATTGTATTCTCTGTAGTAGTTTGTTTTTAATCCTGCAGCAGTTTGGTAACTTACTTGGATCATATCCAGCTTTGACAACAATCCCATTTCCTGTAAGCGACCATAGTGCGGCATGTGGCACTGCTCAGCCAAGTTGGAGATAGCTAACCACAGGCTGCCTAGTTCTTGACTCTGCAATGGTATAGAAGACATGAATGAATTTTGCCCCACAAAGCATTTTACATAAACCTGGAGTTGCTACCACATGAAGAGGGAATTCCATTCAAGGTTAGAGGATTTCAGCTCTGTAACAATCCTAGTGAGATCCAGCTTTTTTTCCACATGTGCTGCTACCTTTCTTTCTGCCCTGATTTCCCCCACCCTATAACTTGGTTCTGCTGTGCTGCTCCAGCTTCAGGTTTCCCTCCTGATTTTGGCTCTTGCATGCACAAGGTGTAAACCCTCAAGACTCAGCAACTGCAGCTACCTCCATCTCACCCATAGAAATCCCTCTTCCAACCATTGTTTTCCCTTTCCCCAAAATATCTTCTCTTCTGGGTGAGATAGGGGTCACTCCACCGTTGCTACTTGCAAGCCCCTGCCACCGTTGCCTATGTTTTCTGAGCCCACGGGCCTGCTGAGCGTAGCTCCCTCCTGCCATCTTGGCTGATTCTTTTGAACATGAGAGAAAGCAGCACTAGTTAAAGATGAGAACTATGCCATATATCAGCTGAGGCAGGGAAAAACTACATTGTAGACGGTACAGATTCTCCAGCAGCTGAAGGGCTGGAGAGAAGGGAAAATTTGGGGAATGCTCTGGGAATGGCAAAACTGTAAGGAAATTAGGTTGAAGCTGAAGGGCTAGTGAGGGAAATAGGACAGTATATCAAAAGGGAGGAGTTCAAGAAAGGGAAAGCTGCACAGCAACTCAGGCCAGGTCTACTCAACAAAGGGCCTTGTTACATGTTACACTCTGAGCTGCTCAAATGTTGATCAGTATTAGCGTTAGCTTGAGTTCGGACTAGCCACATGCTCGAGCCAGCAGGGGCCTTGAGGACTTATAGATAAGAATCCCCCCCCACACCCTCTCTTCCCTTTCTGGGTTTGTACCTGCCCATTGCCATCCCAAAGCTCCCCCTGTTCCCCTCTACTCTGGGGCTGCCCCTGGCACCTTGTGGTTCCTCTCTGCACCCCTTGGGCTTCTCTCCAGTCCTTCCCATCCCCCAGAGCTTCCCCTGTGCCCCCCCACCTCAGCCCTCATGGCTCATCTGAACCCCCCCAGCTTACCTGTGGCTGCCTGCCCACAGTGGGGGCAGTGGCCAGGCAGGCAGGTGTCCATTCCCTGTCTGCTCTCCTAGGATAACAAAGTAAGCCAGGACTGAAGGGGAGAAGAGGGGGGAGAGGTGAGAGGGGATCTGGAGGGCTGGGGTGCAGCAGGCTGATGAGGGCTGCTGTGGGACAGGGGCAGGGGGAAGTGGTCTGATGGTGGTGGTGGGGGGGGCCATGGGAGGGCAATGGGCCTAATCTGGGCCAGCAGAGGATGGGGGTGGGGCTAGTGTTCACACTAGCTTAGAGTGGCTACACATTAAGGTTAGACAAGCTAGGTTACACAGATCAGAGCACTGGTGATGCATAGGGGGTGCATGTGCACCCCCTGACCGGCCACACTTGCCACTTAGGTGATGGGCATGAGGGGCAGGCGGGAGCACTGGTGCCCCTCCCCCCCCTCCAGTCAGCGAGACTGGTCGCAGGGGGGGAGCACCCCCCAGTCACTGACTGGTCACTGTGGGGTGGGCATGTGCCCCCCTGACTAAGGTGGCACCAGTTGCCCATGGATCAGAGACACAGTTAGGCTGAGGTGGCATAACTTTAAGCCACCCAAAAGTACTTAAAACTAGTTTAATGTGTTAATGTGTGGACAATCCAGGGGCTAAGAGCTCTAGGAGCCACCTTAAATTAACATGTATGAAGAGTCAAAGTTTTACTGCTAAGCATGTGAACATTTCCCCCTGTAACACTGTGCCACTGAAACCCCTCATAAGGATGCAGCTATGTCAAGAAAAGAAAGCTTCTGTTGGTTAGCTAATGCCTTCTGAGGAGGTGTCTTAACTATGTTTGCAGCAAAAGCCTTTCTGGAGGCATATGTCTTCTGTGTCTTTACTAGAACACTCTTCCACTGCAGCTATGCCAGACCAACAGCAGCAGCAAATGCTCAATGGTGCTATCAGATAAAGAAGCCATCAGATATTGTAGAGAAGGAAGAGAGACCGTCCATTGTTCAGGAACTAGAATGAAAGTATCTGTCCAGGTGTCAGGTGGGTGATTGTGTGTGGTGGGGGAGAAGAGGGTGTCAAAGGCATTATCTAAACTGAGGATTTCAGCCACTCTGAGTATCCATGATCAACAGCGCAAACCCCTAGCATAAACGGCCAAGCCACTACTTTATATGGGGCAGGCCATTGGTGTTTAAAAAAGATCTCCACTGCACTTGCCAGCTACCACAACTTTTCCATACTTGGGATTTGCAGACATGCAGCAACACTAGTGGCTGGTGACAGCTAGTTTTAACTGTGGCAATTTTTTAGTATAGATAAGGCCTGCAGTCTCCTCCTTGAAAAGTGCTGAGGATTTTGCAATATGGACAAGCCCTATGAACAATGGCAGAGGTCAGCAGCCTCCAGCCTCCAGGCCACATCCTGCCCCTGAACAGGCTGGATCCTAACTGTGGCAGCTCAAGAAATCAGCAGCATGCTCCAGCCACAGTAGCACAGGAGGCATCCTGAAGGGCCTATTGCCTGCCATGCCCAGTTTGTTCTCTCTACTGCAGCTTGGGAGACATCCCCAGCATACTGGCTCCTGCCTTTTTTCTATCTATTCCCTTTGCAGCATCTGCTGATTGGCAGGAGGTACAGGAGCAGGTGCAGGCCTACAATGGGGCTGGGTCACAAGCAGTGGCCTATGGTGGCAAAAGGTGCCCAACCCCTAAACTATGGTAAAGATAGCAAATGCCACACCTGATTCTCTTGCAACTGAACTCAGGGGCAGCTGCCCCACTTGACTTCAGCAGAAAGAGATGCAGAGCTTTATTGTCTGTTTGTGATCTTCCTTGTGTTCCAGCCAAGTTACTGAGTTTCCCTGTTACTATCACCAAGGGTGTTTGGAAATGTCACTGCTGCACATTCCCAGCATCTCATTTTCAGAACTGTACCTTGGCCAATGTGTTTTGAAACCTCACAAAATTAGAACTTACACTGAAAACATTATGTAGTCTAGTAATGAGCCACTGTGCTCTTGCAGTAGGGAAGAAAGCTGCACAGGATTTTCATTTGCAATTTTCAATATCCCTGCTCCATTTTATTTGCAGTTCATATTCTGCCAAAAGTAATGGAAAAAGCACCTAGCAAACTTACCTGGTTTCTGAAATACACTTTATTACGCCTAATATTCAATTCCAACTGTTTATTTTTCTCCTGTATTCTGTTGCTCTTTATCTGAAGTTCAGAGAGTTCACTAATCAGCATCTGGGTAAAGAAAACAAGAATGTTCATTATGGATGTTCTTCTCCTAGAAGAAGAATGTCTACCTAATATCTTTCATCTACATACTGGTGTTCAGCTGAACAGATCACAAAGCACTTTACACAGTACGTATTATGCTAACAACAGAGTCATATTTACTGGGGAGTTTTCTCCTGTCTCTGGAGCTGCACTGGCAAGTACAATCCAGACCTGTCAACAAGAGTTGTAAAAGCCAGCAGTTTTGCCAGCATTGCTACATGGGCATTCACTCTCCTAGCCAGCAAGTCTATTCAGGGAAACCTTGGAATAGTAGACTGTGGTTATACATTGTGGTTCTTACTCTACCTCCTTCTCTTCCCTGTGGGGATCCTGATCAGCCCCTACAAAATGGATAAGACCTGTTACATTCAATTTAAATCATTAAAACTAAAATGCCCAGAGGAACTTTTCTACAGAAGAAATCTGCTTTAGCAGCAACAGTTTGTGAGCATAGCTCAAAGCTGTGTTCTGAGATTCATGCTAGGGATCGCTACTGTACACCTCCTACATGTAGTCGCCACCCAGGAACCCACCTGACAGCTTTAGGAAATGTATAATGGAGGATAAAGTGCAGAATGCGCTGCAGAGATTGACACTGCTATCTGAGAATTTGTCCTGCTTCACATGACAGGCGTGTTCTTTGTGCATCTGATCTGCAGTATTTCAAAAACCTCTGTCCTGCCCAGCCATGATAGATGGATTCCATATTACCCAACAGCACCACAGGGTGTAGCTCAGCACCTCGCTGTATCAGGCTGTTAAGTGCCTTAACTACTTTGGATCAAGCCCCATTCTGTATACTGTAAATAAAATACTCAAAACATTACAAGTTTTCTGGTGTCGTGTTCCCGTTGCAAGGCTTCAAGGTCATGCTGGCCTTTTTCATAGTCATCTGACAAGGCGATCAAGTTTTTTATCAAGCTCTGATTCGTAGCTGACAGTGTCTCGTGCCTCCTGATGATAGCTCTTACCAGAGACTCTTCACCATATTCCAGATAGTCTGTAGAAGGAAAATACCTCACAAAAAGGGTACTGAAGTACCTTATCAATCATGTATCAGAGGCATGTTATTTCCCCTCCTTTACCAGTTATAAGCCTGACCCTTTATGGAACTTTGTATATTGGCAACTTTTACATTTCCCAAGAGATGGCAGTACCTTGCAGGTTCCTTATAGGGCCAGGTTCTGTGCATAAGCTAATATTTTCATTGCAGTAATATCTTTTTTCCAAGGAAATGGACTCCGAATTTGCCAACTAGAAGCTTCCAAATCAAATGAGTCAGGACACATATGCCCCCTACCCCTCCAAAATCATGAGAATAACTCACAAAATCAAGCAATGTTAAAAAATACATTTGGAATTCTTTTCATTCACATTTTCAAGTTTTTCAGCCACAAGGGCTTTATTTAAATTGCCTTTTTTAATGCAAGCTGAGACGGTTACATAATAAGCTGATTGCAAAAACTGTGGCTTTAAGAAAAGAAGAAAAAGGCATGAGAGGATAAAATTGTGAGAGTTGGCAACATTGTAATACTTACATCACAGGAAAGCACAAAACTGACTTCTTTCTCTTTCAGAATGTGTAGTGTAGTATAGTGTAGTATAGTATAGTATAATGTAGCGTGGGAAAATTAAATGGCTTTAGTGATTTTTTTCCATAAGGTTGTTTCAAAGTTTTGAACAACTGTTGCAATGATGCAGTGCATTTCAAGGAAGGTGTAATGGGATTTCATAGACATTAGGTCTGGAAGGGACCTCAGAAGATCATCAAGTCCAACCCCAAGCCCCGGGGGCAAGAAGTCAGCTGATATCACAGGATCCCAGCAAGATAAATGTCCAGTTGACTCTTAAAGGAGTCCAGAGTAGGTGCATGCACCACCTCTGGCAGCAGTTTGTTCCAGGCCTTGGGGGCTTGGACTGTAAAGAAGTTCTTCCTTACGTCCAGCCCGAAACGGTCTTGGAGAAGTTTGTGACCGTTTGACCTTGTCATCCCATGGGGTGCTCTGGTGAACAGGCATTCCCTCAGATCCTGATGTACACCCCTTATATAGGCAGCCACCAGGTTGCCCCTGAGCCTGAGCTTTTCCAGGCTGAAGAGTCCCGTAGCTCTCAGCCTCTCATCGTAAGGCCTGTTTTCCTGCTCTCTGATCATGCGCGTGGCTCTCCTCTGGACTCTCTCAAGCTTCTCCACATCCTTTTTAAATTGTGCAGCCCACTTGGAGGGGCTGGATGTGTTTAAGTCAGCAGGCCTGAATGATCTTCATCCAAGGGTGCTGAAAGAATTAGCCAGTGTCATAGCAGAACCACTGGCATGGTTGTTTGAGCACTCTTGGCGCTCAGGTCAAGTCCCGGAGGATTGGAAAAGGGCCAGCGTGGTCCCTATTTTCAAGAAGGGTCGGAAGGAGGATCCAGGTGGCCAGTTACCCTGACATCTATCCTTGGGAAAACCTTTGAAAAAATTATTTAGGATCACATTTGTGGGAGTCCAGAAGGAAAAATAATGCTGATGGGCAACCAGCACAGGTTCAGAGCAGGTAGATCCTGCTTGACTAACCTTGTTTCTTTTTATGACCAGGTCACAAAATGCTTAGATGCAGGTAATGAGGTAGATGTCATCTACCTGGATTTTATGAAAGCCTTTGATATGGTATCTCATCCTATTCTCATAAATAAACTGAGTGGCTGTGATGTAGATGATTACATGGTCAGGCAGGTGGCAAATTGGCTAAAGGGATGCACCCAGAGAGTGGTGGTGGATGGTTCAGTATCGACCTGGAAAGATGGGAGTTCCCCAAGGTTCAGTCCTTGGACCAGCGCTGTTCAATGTCTTCATCAGTGACTTGGATGAGGGCGTGGAGAGCACTCTGTCCAAATCTGTGGATGACAACAAATTATGGGGCAAAGTAAATACAGTAGTGGGCAAGGAATGAATCCAGCCAGATCTGGACAAATAGGGTAAGTGGGCAGAGCAGAATAGGATGCAATTCGACAAGGACAAATGCAAAGTGCTGTACTGAGGGAGTAGGGGGAGATGCAACAGAAATCTGGCAAAAATGCTATATACCAGATCTACTGTTGGATTACTAATAATCCAATGCAGATGGAATATAGCATTAATATAAAATAAGCGGATATGGTCATAGCTAAAGTGGAGGGGCCCACACTAATACTCTGTTTTAACCTCATCTCTTCATTTGTAGCTTCTTTCTTAGTAGGCAAAAAAAGTTTGAT